CTCTTGGAGGATGCTCTTTTAATTGTTTTTGCCGCAAAACAACCATTTTCAAAATTCTAACCATCTAGCATTCAGAAAAAAAAAATCAATTTAATTGTTGTAGTCTGTCACAGATGCTTTTTATGATCAAATAATAATAACTTTATTTATAAAGCGCTTTCAAACAAAGTGCTGAACAGTTACAAAATGATAAATCAATATAAAAAAGCTGCAGGAACAAAGAAAACATTGAAAAAAGATAAAATACAAATGTAAACTTTAAGACAAGGTTTAAGGAGAGGTAAAAAAGGGTGGAATCAGATAACTAAAACTTCTTCAAGAAGATAAATCATCACCTCATCATGTTGCAAAAGATGCTTGTTGTTTCCAGTAGGCTGCGTCACTAATCTGGAGTACAATGAGAAACTTATACAAGTGGATTAAGAGGGTTGATGACAAAACTCAGACCTGCTGAGCTGATCTGGCAACAACAACAACAACAAGAGACATCTGGAGCCAGACTGATGAAGAGTCCTGATACTAGTCAGGTTCACGACTCAGAGAATTCAAGCTGATTGATTTAAAAACCAGAGGTGGTTCAACAAAGTAACTTATGGGGCAGATTTTATTCCTCAGATTTGAGTGATTCCATCAATTTCCCCCCCTGAACTTCATCTAAAAAAGCAGCAGTGACTGACAACAACAATCTTTAATCTTTGTTGTTTTTTGTTGCCTAATGCCAGAAGAATGAATCAGTGATTAACGATCTTCTGAAGACCTGCTGAAAAGCAGGGAAACAAGTAAAACATGCTGGATAGGGGTCCTTGAGGACCAGGGTTGGGAAACACTGCTCRAGTGGGTCAAAATGCAGACATTGTTCTGTGTGTGTCAGCTTCCTGACATGCATTCATTGTTGTCTTCTGTCTGCAGTTTGTTGTTTTTKCACATCCTTTTTTTAAACGTGTAATGAGTTAAAACGTCCAGCAGGTGGCAGTGTGGCACCACTGAGAAGAAGCTTCCTGCTCACTTTACAGAGTTACTTAATCCGTTCAGTATAAGTAAAAAAWKAAAACAAATATTTCTACTCCTAAAACAACCTTACATAAAATAACATTGTTTTTTTCAATGACTTGTTTAATTAACTAATAGTTTATTAGCATTTTGTACAGGTGAAGCTGACTTTAGTCAGTTAATGAAACTTCTAATATTAGGATTAGCATAAAGATTTGGGAAGAAAAGAGTAATAAAGACATTTTCTGTATAATTTTACAGTATAAATTCTATAAACTGTCAGGTTAACTCTTAAAAAATGTTTTTTTCAGTTCCTTATGTCTAAATCTGATCAGTTATTTTTATAATGGTTTTATATTTATTTCCTGCCTCTGAAATTGAGAGGCAAAAATGTTTATTTTTTTAAAATGTCTTTGTCTGTAGTGTTAGCAAAATATTGCATAAACCAGTGGGCAGTTGTTTYATTAAACTCGCTCGTCTACAACAGATCCAACAGATTCCAGGTGGTTGCTGCAGCTAACTGGTTTAGTTAGATACAAAATGACGACAGCTTGGGCAGTTTTACAGATACAGAGCTAAAGCTCAGTGTGGTAGTAGCTGAGAGTCATTCCCAACTCTGAGTGCTGACACGTCAGGTTTGACCAACACATCCAAACTCCTTCCCTTTTCATGAAAAGAGGATCTTAATCTGAAACCTTGGTTTGAAACAGGCGACATTCATTCCTGCAAGATTTTAAACATTTAAATGTCTTTAATAAGTAGTTGTGAGCTGTGGCAGGCAGGGCTTTAGTTGGGACAGATTTAATTAG